TGCACGGGAACGGGCTCAGCACCGTTTGGCTAAAAGAACGCCCCCGCGCGCTGCTCAAGCTTGCGCTCAAACGTCTGCGGCAGCGGGGTGACAAGACGTGCAAGAGAAGGATGAAAGGACACGTATACATGATGAGATGAACATGGACCACACTAGGGAACCCGTCGGTGATGAACTCATCAATCGCAAACGGTTGTACACTAGAAAGCATTTGCCCACAACACACACGGCTTATTCCATCACAAACAGATCGGGTGGATCAACTATATGTCATGTATAGACATTGTCAAAAAGTAATGTGGTAGACCTTCTTTAACATATGTTAAAAAATAAAATAAAAATAAAAAACAAGGACCTCGATGTTAAATTAGCTAAGGGAATGGGGCATTTTGGTCATTTTGATGACTGAAATGACCCATCCTATCAGCTAATTTAACATCAACACAACTTCCCATCCAGTCACCCATCCCATGGCTGCTCCAGCCTGAGCACACTTAACTTGAGAGTTCTCTTAGATGAGCTACTGGTGGAACAACTAGTCCTTGCTGATGTAGGATGCCTCTTCGCATCCTTATGGCGTATCCGGATGACCGCCCGTCCCCCAATGGCCAATACATGTTGTGTAGACAGAGCATATCACATACGTCTTATTAGAAGCAATTGTTTGTGTTATTATCGGTCTTTGCACACATTTCTGATTACAGACATGTTCGCCGCGTATCACACACATCTTATTATATTGAACCGTTTATGTTCGCTTGTCTCAACACAAACAGTTCATCCTAGTGAACCGCATGATGTATATCACACACACCTGGTTTTGGCTGACCATTTATTTTGTGTTGCCTAATCACAAACAGTTCATCCTAGTGAACCGTATGCTGTGTATCGCACATGCCTTCATCTGGCTGCCCGTTTCATTTGTTACTCCTTATCGCAAACAGTTAATTGAACTGAACCGTATGCCCTGGATCACACACACAACTAAAATCTGAACCGTGTTTGATGCATCCGTCATCGCAAACATTTTGGACATTTTTTACGGTTCTTTGACACCACCGTTTGCGATTATTGCATTGCACACAGTTTCTCAAAGGGTCTCTGATCGTAGTGTCGTGTTAGCAGCATCCTGCACTAGTGAGGGGTCTCCCTGTCGTAGACCTCTCGTAGGAGAAAATTCTTCAGTTTCAGTATTATGAAAGCGTACTCGGTAGCTTACTGAAGATACACATGCCATAATCAGCTCTACCCAATGCGGATGAACCATCTTCAACATTATTTTCTCCAAGAAGTTCCACTCTACTCTGTCATATGCTTTGCTCATGTCAAACTTAACAGCACAGAAACCATTAGCCCCATGAGTTTTCTTTTTTATTGCATGGAAACTTTCATAGGCTACCAACACATTGTCGGTGATGAGTCTACCTGGCACAAAAAGCACTCTGTGTTGGGGATATAATCTCAGGGAGAATTTATTTCAACCTATTTGCAAGCATCTTTGAAATTATTTTATACACCACATTACAGAGACTGATGGGCCTGTACTGTGTGATCAACTCTGGGCTGTCCATCTTTGGAAGTAGCACTACGTTTGTAGAATTCCAACCATGAGGAATCTTCTTATTGTTTACAGCGTTAAGTACCTCATCTGTCAGCTCATCACCCACAATATGCCAAAATCTTTTAAAAAAGATTGCATGAAGTCCATGAGGACCAGGAGCTTTCATATCTCCTATGCGGAACAAAGCTTTACAGACATCTTCTCTGGTATACTCAGCCAAAAGCAAATTATTCATTTCATTTGTAACCAGAGGATTTACAGAGTTTAACAGGTCCTGATCCACATCTGCCGAAGTGGATGTAAAAACATCATGAAAATATTTCTGGATCATAGGCTTAAGATTATCATTACCTTCTACCCAAATATCATCACTATTTTTAAACTTCTTTATTAACTTCCTACGCCGACGCGCTGAGGCTGAATGGTAAAAATAGGTTGTGTTTCGGTCACCTCGGCACAGCCAACTAACCTTCCCTCTCTGTGCCCAATATATCTCATCTTGTTCAAGCAAATTCTCGATAAACAAGGAGAGTTCCTTCTGTGGCAATTTTATACCTGGTGTCGGGCTAGCGTGCATGAGAGTCTCGAGCTCTCGTTGTGCATTTCTCAATCTCGACCTAGGCTCCTTCAGTACAGCCCGATCCCATGCATGCATGTCCTTATAGACATTAGCTAGTTTAGCTCCTGTACCAGGGCCAATACCCCTCTGGGCAGCTTTTTGCCATGCCGTTTTCACCACCTCTTCAACAGTCTCCTCCGCTAGCCATCTAGCTTCAAAATTTCTTTTGTAAGTCGGCCTACTCTCTGCCACCCCGGCTAAGTGATTAGTATCCAAGCAAATGGGTCGATGGTCAGACTTCCCATCTCAAGGTTGCATAGACCCACCCAAGGGTGCATTAGCAGCCATTTCGCGTTTGAAACTGTCCTGTCCAGCCTCTCTCGTAAACCTCCTCGGAACCAATTGAATTTGTCCCCTTCATATCCCAAATCTTCCAAAGAGCAGTCAGACAACGCATCCTGAAAAGCTTGGATGCAAGTGTGAGGGCGGGCAGCACCCCCCTCCTTCTCCGATGAGAGCAAAATCTCGTTAAAATCCCCTATCACAGCGCACGGTAACCTAGATTGTGCATGAAGGTCCCGCATCAGTCTGTACATATGATCCTTATTTTCCCAGCTCGGCTCACCGTAGATCCCGGTGAGTCTCCACATATCTCCATTCTCCTCTTCTACCGAAACATCGATGAAATCCAGGGAGCTCGGGAGTAGATCCTCACCTCCTTCTTCCAGACCAAAAGTAGTCCACCCTTACTACCATCTAAGCTGGGAGCAACGATCATCTCATCCATGCGTAATTTCCTCATCAACTCTTCTGCCTTAACTTCATCCAAATGCGTTTCAGACAGAAAAAATGCATCCGGTTCATATCGCCTCTGAATGTCCAGAAGCGAGCGAACTGTCGGGGCTCCCAGTATGCCCCGATAGTTCCAACTAATTAGTTTCATTGCTCCCGGCGATCACCCTCGAGGGGTGTCGCCGACGTGCTATTTAAACTTGTCTCATCATCATTAGCTGACTTCATCCTCTTCGGGTCATGTATCTTTTGGGGTGTTCTCATCAAGCTCTTATCTATGATCTCGTTTGTTCCGTTTTCCAGCAGATTAACCTTATCACTCACAAAACCCCGGGGAGGTGAAGTACCAACAAGCTCATGCCTGGCAGCCCCACCATTCACCACAATATTGTCGTTCTGATCTATCAATCTCTTCCGTGCCATGGGAACTACGACCCCTCTGTTCCCCTCTGGCTCAACCTCCATATCTGTGTTTTCTTGAGGGTTAGGGTCCCCAGGGTTACCATGCCCTGGGCCAAAGCCTCAGCCTCTGCCCGCTGCATCACCACAACGTCCACTACCTCTACCCTCACCTCGCCTAAACGAGGCATCAAAGCTAACCAGCAACCAGTCCCCCCATTGACACTCCTCGGCTGGGTGTATGCCGTCACCACATTCTGTAGCAATATGGCCTATGAGTCCACAAAATTCACAGAAATCTGGAAGCTTTTCATATGTGACTGGATACTTCTTTTTCTCCTTCAAAGTTAGGGGAACAAAACGAACAAGTGGTGTATCCAGTTTAACAAAAACTCGAGCCCTCAAGTATTTTGTTGGGTTAATTCGACCCTCATTAACAATCACTTTAACTGGCAGAACTCCAACCTTTTTGCTATCTTCTCTGCTATCTATGTCTTCTTCATAAGCCCCTCCGGAATCCCGGTGATTCTTGCCCATACTGGGATACAGTCAAGCTTATCCTCTTGCACATTGGTCAAACCATCGTATTCCTCCAGAACCACAGCTGAGTTACGAAATAACCACGGACCACCGTTCATGACACGGTTCCAATCTCCCAAGCACAAGAATTGCGCCAGGAGCAGATTTTCTCCCTTAGGTTTAAAGGTTACACCCTGCGCCGCCGCCCATGCGTTTCGCATAGACTTGAAGAGTGAGATATGGCTAAACGTCTTCTGAGTATGAACCTTAAAAATTGCTATCCATCTCGTCTCATCAATCAGGCCATCAATCTCACCAGAGAGATCTAGTTCCCCCTCTTCCTCGCCATGGAGGTTCAGACCTTCAAATCTGTCCTCCAGGACTGCATCATACCCTCGGCCCCTCGATCCATCACCACTGCTCGCCGATCTGCCCGTTGCCGACTGCCTTGGCTCCACCGTCTCTGATCCCGCCATCTCCCTCGCTAATCCAGCCATGCACTTCCTTCTAGCAGTAGCCACACACCAGGGGAATCACGTGGGAACTCCTGGGGGGAGATCGGACGTGAGATTATGCGATGTTTCAGGGTAGATATGGAACCCTAGCAGCGCGCCGCCGGGGATATCAGGAACCCTAGGTGCGCCCTAGGGGAAAAGTAAGATGTCACGTCTCGTGCCAGCGTGTTTGCCTGGCTAAGTTGCACATTGCATTCTTTATTTAAAAATCCCTATAGTTGGTAACCGCCATCCAATCAAGCATAATAAGATACTAATGCTCCCATCCCTCAAAAACAAACACTACAAAATTAATCCTAATGCTCCCAAGGAGGATCGTGTCAAGCCAAACAACTGTGGTAGTAGTCCTAGCGACAAGATACAAAACGTTGGAAATACCATTTCAGGGATTTGACCAAGTACTAAGCCACACCAAACCAGCGCCAATTTCCTCGTCACGCGTGTTGCTTTGATCAGGTCCAAGTGTGATTAGTATTGTATTGGCCAGCTCCGCGTCTTGCCTCGCTCCTCATTCCTTCATCTCCACCGCCGGGCGCCGCTGGTCTTCCCAGAGGGAGAGGGGCAGCACCGCAGCAGAGAACTCCAGGGAATTGAAGCTGGGATCGGAAAAAGGTCGGTCTTTTGCCATTTTGGCCGGGAGCAGAGGAGGGAGGAGATGGCCAAGGGGGAGAGGGAGGGGCGCCTCCCCCTCTTGCTGCTGCTGCTGCTCGTCTTGTGCCTCTTGGCCCAGTCCAGGATCGCCGCCGCCGCCACCCACCCACAGGATGGTACGTATGCCTGCTTGCTTGCTAAGCTTTTCTCCTTCTCCTTCCCCTTCCCCTTCTCCGAACTTCGGGGAGGAGGAAAAGTTTATTCAGACTGCGCCGGAAAATATGCTTGGTTGTTTGGAGGTTCAGTTTTGGTCTTCGGATGAGCTGGGGATTGGAAATCTTCCAGGTTCATGATGCCGTGTACTATGAAATTTGCTGCTGGAATCATTTTCACAACATGTTACTCAGTTGCAACTTGCTAGCGAAGAATCTATTTTTACTGCCAATAGCAGTATGCCAAACATCAATTTTCAGTTAACCAATCTCTTTATATTTATTATTAAAAGAGTATCCAATGGTTGGTTTACAAGTCCCTGTCTCTCTCTCCTGCCTTTGCAGCGGCTGCTCTCAAATCCTTGATGAGGAAATGGTCAAATGTGCCTGCTAGCTGGAGGAAGAAATCGAATGATCCTTGCGGCGACAAATGGGATGGAATTGAATGCAATGGTGCCAACTCAAGGGTTACATCACTGTAAGCACAATTGACACCACCATTTGATTGGAGCTGGCTGTCCAAGATCCTTATGTTTTGATTTCCCCTGACTCTCTTCTTCCATGTGGCAGAAATCTTTTTGGCATGAACATGAAAGGCACTCTTAGTGATGATATAGGAAGCCTGACTGAGCTCAGGGTCTTGTGAGTGATGATATACTATTCATGTTATTGGCTGTCTTATGCTTACACAATAAAGTAGTAACATTAGGGCACTTAATCACTGATGACTGATGAATGCACTGCAGGGATTTATCCTCAAATAAAGACTTAGGTGGTCCACTTACACCTGCCATTGGGAAATTGATTCAGCTTATAAACTTGTAAGTTGCAACAGTTTCCATTAGTGTACAAAGAGGCGGTAGACCTATTAATTGTATATAAACCTCTGTTTCCGGACCACCTTAGTTACTGACTTACCATCTTCCGAGTAACTACTCTGCAGAGCATTGATAGGTTGCAGTTTCAGCGGTTCTGTTCCGAGTGAACTAGGCAACCTTGCACAACTCGAATTCTTGTAAGATTCTTGTTCTTCTTTTGAAAAAAATATCATAGTTTTGTTTGCAAGAATTCTCTATCTATTGGATCTTAATGTGCTTTCGTGAATCGTGAATCGATGTCCTTCCACAGCGGTCTGAACTCAAACCAATTCACGGGCAGAATCCCGCCCTCGCTGGGCAAGCTCTCCAAGGTTAAATGGCTGGATCTAGCTGATAACAAGTTAACCGGACTTCTCCCAAACTCAAGGGACAATGGCGCTGGATTGGACCAGCTTCTTAATGCAGAGCACTTGTAAGTGTCATCTAACATCAGTTTCTTGTTAATCATATGTGTCATCTGGGCATCACTCATTCGTAGGTTGCTTCTGCCTTTTGTAGCCATCTTAACCAGAATTCTCTAGAAGGTCCTATCCCAGAATATATGTTCAACTCCAGCATGCACCTCAAGCATATGTAAGTTCAAATATAGCCTTTCACCCTGTATCATTTGGACCGTAATTTGTCTAACAATGGTTTGTTGTGTCTAGACTTCTGGACAGGAACAATTTTAGTGGAACTATCCCATCATCTATTGGGGTAATCCCAACTCTTGAAGTACTGTAAGTGTTCACACAGCTTGCTTCAGAATTACTTTGGGGAGTTGGCGTTTTTGTGGCAAGCTAATTATTTGATGTGCTTTTGGAATACAGTCGTCTAAATAACAATAACTTCACAGGCCGAGTTCCGGCTATGAATAACCTGACTAAGCTCCATGTTCTGTAAGTTGCCGTACCCACCATTCCCATCTTATTTGATGGTACTCTTGCACTTAGATGGGATGAGCACTAATGTATCACTTGTAATTTTGTTGGAAATCTCAGAATGCTGTCAAATAACAAGCTAAGTGGACCAATGCCGAATTTGACTGATATGGAGGGTCTTGGAAATGTGTAAGAAATTAGTGCGATCTTAATCAGCATTATTTACAAACTTTCACTCAATATCATTGACAAGTGATACGGCGCTATATGCACAGGGATCTAAGCAATAACAGCTTCACGCCTTCTGGTGTTCCAAGTTGGTTTACAGAATTGCCCGGACTAATGACCCTGTAAGTTACAGTGCTATCTGAATTCAATAGTTACGATGCAGTTTAAGAGCAGCAAATGATGGACTCTTTCGTTTTGCCGTGCAGTACAATGCAGTCGGTTGGGATTTCTGGGAAACTACCACAGAAGCTTTTCGGCTTGCGTGCTTTGCAACATGTGTAAGACAATACAACAACCATAGGACCTCTACCTTGTACATTATTTATCGAAATGCACTAACTAGTCAATCGTATGGCAGAATATTGAATGATAATGAACTGAATGATACGCTTGACATGGGCAATAACATCAATGACGGACTAGACCTTGTCGACTTGCGGAACAACAAAATTACCTCAGTTACAGTGTACAGCAGCCTTGACAGCAAGCTTCTCAAGTGAGTATTGTTGGCTGTTGCTCATTTGAAACTTAATTTTTGACAAAGAAATGTGTTCCATTTCCTTCAAATTTTTACTCTATTATCTTGCTGCTCTGTTCTTGCCAGGCTTGAAGGAAACCCACTCTGCACCGACTCTCTTCTGTCAAACACGCTGCTCTGCACGGACCAGCTAACCGAATTTCCAACCATGCTACCCTTCTCTGATGTACAGTGTCCACATCCATTTGTTGAAACTATATTCTTCCGATCTCCTTCCTTTGGCGATGTCAGAAAGTTCCTTCCTGAACTGCACGACAACCTGTCGAGAACAGTGAGCAGTTGTACCCCGAACAAGCTAGGTTTGATACCATACATTGATGACGTGTACCTGAAAGTAGACATCAAGGCGTGCCCTGTAAAGCAGAAGAGGTTCAATTACTCTCAGGTGCTCAACTGCTTTAATCTAACACTTCAGACTTACAAGCCACCGGAGAATTTTGGACCTTACTATGTGAAATCACATCCTTATCCGTTCCACGACAAAGGTGATTTATGGAGCTTGATCCGGTTCTTGTGGTGAAGTTTGTTAGGCTGGCATATTGATTGTGCTGATGTTTAGCTGTTGATGTATTGCAGCTTCTCGAGCTATTTTGATTGGTGTCGTGACTGGCTCTGTTCTTTTGGTTGTCGGGCTCGCGCTGATTGGACTTTACGCCCTGCGTCAAAAGAAACGGGCTAAGAAGCTTGTCTCCCAGAATAATCCTTTTGGTACCTCATACATTTCATACAGATTAGATCATAGTATTATGTTGGTTTACCTGATTTTATCTAAAATTCTGAATACTCATATTTTCAGCTTCGTGGGGATCAACGCCGGAAGATATTGGTGAAGCGCCAAAACTCAAGAGCGCTAGAGCCTTCACACTGGAAGAGCTCAAGCTTAGCACAAACGACTTCAAACAAATCAATGCAATTGGAGAAGGAGGCTATGGAACGGTAATTAAGCAACAATCTTTTCGACAACTTAAAGTTCTTATCATCTTTAGGAGTCAGGACAGTTTTATAAATGTTCTTTCCCGATGGAAACAGGTGTACCGAGGAAAACTTCTGGATGGACAGCTCATAGCCATCAAGAGGTCCAAGCAAGGGTCCATGCAGGGTGGGCTTGAGTTCAAGACAGAAATCGAGCTCCTTTCGAGGGTGCATCACAACAACTTGGTTGGGCTAGTTGGTTTCTGCTTCGAGAAGGGCGAAAAGATGCTGGTTTACGAGTTCATATCCAATGGAACTCTAAGTGAGGCGTTATATGGTACGTTAACATGTTCTTCCATCTCATTGTCAGAAGTAACTTCAATTTATACGAGGCGTGTGCCTTTTTTGGCCAACTTCCGGAATCAGGCAGTACATATATATTATGGCACAGTTCTTCCAAATCTGAATTATCTTTTCTTCATGATTATCAGCTGGACTGATCATAATGGCTCACTGTAGGTATGAAAGGAGTACAACTGGATTGGAGTATGAGACTTAAGATAGCTCTAGATTCAGCCAGAGGGCTAGCTTACCTCCATGACCATGCCAATCCTCCAATCATTCATAGAGATATCAAGTCGACCAACATTCTCCTTGATTCGAAGATGACCGCAAAGGTTGCAGATTTTGGCCTCTCCTTGTTGGTATCAGACAGTGAGGAAGGCGAGCTGTGCACAAATGTCAAGGGAACACTGGTAGGCTTGCACTTTTGTATAAAATTAAATGGTTCTCGGTATCAACCATTTCAGTTCTAAGCTTTAAACACTTGTTATCAATGCAGGGTTACCTAGATCCAGAGTACTACATGACGCAGCAACTTACGGCGAAGAGCGATGTCTACAGCTTCGGCGTGGTACTACTAGAGCTCATAGTAGCCAAGCCACCCATATACGAGAAGAAGTACATTGTCCGCGAGGTGAAGACGGCACTAGACATGGAAGACACCATGTACTGTGGGCTGAAGGATGTGATGGACCCAGTTCTCTACAAAATGGGGGGCCTCCTAGGATTCCCAAGGTTCGTGACGATGGCACTGCAATGCGTCGAAGAGGTGGGACCTGACCGCCCGAAGATGAACAACCTAGTGAGGGAGATCGAGATGATAATGCAGGACAACGGGCTCACACCCGGTTCGATGTCGGCGAGCTCTTCGTTCAGCGTGGACTCAACAACAAGGACATTTGCACCAAGGTATCCCTACTCCAGCACATCGACGCCGTCCACTACGTATCAGATGGACAGCAGGGCCTTTGAGTACAGTGGGGGTTTCCCTTCTCAGGGCAGCTTGAAGAACAGGAACACATCCCCTAAACCTCTAAACTCCCGGGAACGGAGGCTTCCTGGTTGATCGAGGCTGTTGGGTGTGCGGTGGGCCCGTTTTTATGTGTTTAGTACGCTGGTGTTGACTCCTTGGTCGGTCGTTTTGTATTCGTGGAAGTTGGGTATCCCTTCTTAGGGCAGCTTGAAGAACAGCAGCAAATAGGAAATTAGAAGGCATGTTCTTAGGTGTATGTATACAGGATGATAGGCTTTTAGCAGAATATCAGATTGTGCAAATTGCAAATTGAAACCGGAGAGTGGCATAGTTACATGTATAGGATTCAGGAATGCACCCATAGTACACTGTACATACTTCGTAAAATTCAAAGTCTGGTTTTGGAAATAATGGAGCAGCCAACGAATTTGCGCGGCAATATTTGTTGTTCTTGAACTTATTGCAAAATCCTATTAATTGAAGGATCGTTTGAGGCTATTACATATTCACATGAAAGATGTTTTGTACAGGAAAATTCTTCAACTGTCCTAGTCTACTGCCCGGCGAACACCGGCGCCTTATTCCTCTTCTAGGGTATTTCTTCTCCAGCCGATCTCCCTCACCACCTCCGGATACCTCGACCGTGCAAACCGTGTGTGGCCAATGGTGGCGGCAGGGCTTCGGAAGGTGGTGTGGTTCTTGTTGACATTTCATCAAACACCTTGTTTGCATACATGAACAAGCAGACATGCCTAGCCCGACCCCCGCGTCGCTCTCACGGGCAACACGGGGGGAGACCCAGCCGCCGGCCACCTCAAGGCCTCCGCTCCATCCCCCCCTCGCCGTCGCCGGAGGAGGCGACCGGGCTAAGCCCGGCGGGGCGAGCTCTCTCTCTCGGCGCGGTTTTCTCCCTCAGATTCAAGGCCGAGGCGGCGGCCGGCCATGGCGTTTGCGTGGCCTGCTCCTCCATGCGCGGCGGTGCGCTGTTGGCTATCGGCGAGGCGCCCTTTCCTGGCGCCCCTACTGCTCCCAATGCAGCGCCAGATCCGCGCACTGCCCCGATCTGATCCGGGGTGCCGCGGCGGCGTGGGGGCTGCGGGCTCGGCCTGATTTAAGGGGGCGGTCCTAGGGTTCCTCAAGTGACAAGACAAAGATCTGCGTGACTCTTTTCCTTCTTGATCTGGTCGGAGTGTCGGGTTCCGAAAGGCTCCACCGACAAACTCCCATGGGCGCGTTATGCCTAGAGATTGCTGGATCGGGTGGGATTCGGTCGTGCCTGAAGGAAATATGCCCTAGAGGCAATAATAAAGTTGTTATTTATATTTCCTTATATCATGATGAATGTTTATTATTCATGCTAGAATTGTATTAACCGGAAACTTAGTACATGTGTGAATACATAGACAAACAGAGTGTCCCTAGTATGCCTCTACTTGACTAAGCTCGTTTATCAAAGATGGTTATGTTTCCTAGCCATAGACATGTGTTGTCGTTTGATGAATGGGATCACATCATTAGAGAATGATGTGATGGAGAAGACCCATTCGTTATCTTAGCACTATGATCGTTTAGTTTATTGCTATTGCTTTCTTCATGACTTATACATGTTCCTATGACTATGAGGTTATGCAACTCCCGAATACCGGAGGAACACTTAGTGTGCTATCGAATGTCACAACGTAACTGGGTGAATATAAAGATGCTCTACAGGTGTCTTCGATGGTGTTTGTTGAGTTGGCATAGATCGAGATTAGGATTTGTCACTCCGATTGTCAGAGAGGTATCTCTAGGCCCTCTCGGTAATGCACATCACTATAAGCCTTGCAAGCAATGTGACTAATGAGTTAGTTGCGGGATGATGCATTACAGAACAAGAGACTTGTCGGTAACGAGATTGAACTACGTATGGTGATACCGACGATCGAATCTCGGGCAAGTAACATACCGATGACAAAGGGAACAACGTATGTTGTTATGCGGTTTGACCGATAAAGATCTTCATAGAATATGTAGGATCCAATATGAGCATCCAGGTTCCGCTATTGGTTATTGACCGGAGATGTGTCTCGGTCATGTCTACACAGCTCTCGAACCCGTAGGGTCCGCACGCTTAACGTTCGATGATGATTCGTATTATGAGTTATGTGATTTGATGTACCAAAGGTTGTTCGGAGTCCCGGATGAGATCAAGGACATGACGAGGAGTCTCAAAATGGTCGATACATAAAGATTGATATATTGGACCATGTTATTCGGACACCGGAAGTGTTCCGAATAGTTTCGGATAAAACCGGAGTGCCGGAGGGGTTACCGGAACCCCCCGGGGAAGTAACGGGCCTTTGTGGGCCTTCAGGGAGAGAGAGGGCAGCAGCCAGGAGGTGGCGCCCCCCCCAAGGGGTGTCCGAATAGGACTAGGGAAGGGGGTGCGCCCCCTCTTTCCCTCTCCTTCCTTCTTTCCCCTTCCACCAAGTGGAATCCTACTAGGACTTGGAGTCCTAGTAGGACTCCTCTCCTTGGGGCGCGCCTCTAGGGGTCGGCCGGCCTCCTCCCCACCTCCTTTATATACCGGGGAGGGGGGCATCCCATAGACACACAAGTTGATCTTTTAGCCGTGTGCGGTGCCCCCTCCACAGAAACACACCTCGGTCATATCGTCGTAGTGCTTAGGCGAAGCCCTGCGTCGGTAACTTCATCATCACTGTCACCACGCCGTCGTGCTGACGAAACTCTCCCTCGGCCTCAACTGGAGCAAGAGTTCGAGGAACGTCACTGAGCTGAACGTGTGCAGATCGTGGAGGTGCCGTGCGTTCGGTACTTGGATCGCGAAGACGTTCGACTACATCAACCGCGTTACTAAACGCTTCCGCTTTCGGTCTATGAGGGTACGTGGATACACTCTCCCCGCTCGTTGCTATGCTTCTCCTAGATAGATCTTGCGTGATCGTAGGAATTTTTTGAAATACTACGTTCCCCAACAGGGCCATCCGAGCCAGATCTATGCGTAGATGTTATATGCACGAGTAGAACACAAAGAGTTGTGGGCGATAATAGTCATACTGCTTACCAGCATGTCATACTTTGATTCGGTAGTATTGTTGGATGAAGCGGCCCAGACCGACATTACATGACCGCGTTCATGACACTAGTTCTACCGCCGTGCTTCGCACACAGGTGGCTAGTGGGTGTCTGTTTCTCCAACTTTAGTTGAATCGAGTGTGACTACGCCCGATCCTTGTTGAAGGTTAAAACAACACACTTGACGAAAAATCATTGTGGTTTTGATGCGTAGGTAAGAACGGTTCTTGGAAAAGCCCGTAGAAGCCACGTAAAACTTGCAACAACAAAGTAGAGGACGTCTAACTTGTTTTTGCAGGGCTTGCTGTGATGTGATATGGTCAAGACGTGATGATATATAAATTATTATATGAGATGATCATGTTTTGTAACAGTTATCGGCAACTGGCAGGAGCCATATGGTTGTCTCTTTATTGCATGAAATGCAATCGCCATGTAATTACTTTACTTTATCACTAAGTGGTAGCGATAGTCGTAGAAGCAATAGTTGGCGAGACGACAATGATGCTTTGATGGAGATTAAGGTGTCAAGCCGGTGACGATGGTGATCATGACGGTGCTTTGGAGATGGAGATCAAAGGCACAAGATGATGATGGCCATATCATATCACTTATATTGATTGCATGTGATGTTTATCCTTTATGCATCTTATTTTGCTTAGTATGGCGGTAGCATTATAAGATGATCTCTCACTAAATTTTCAAGGTACAAGTGTTCTCCCTGAGTATGCATCGTTGCGACAGTTCGTCGTGCCGAGACACCACGTGATGATCGGGTGTGATAAGCTCTACGTTCACATACAACGGGTGCAAGCCAGTTTTGCACACGCAGAATACTCGGGTTAAACTTGACGAGCCTAGCATATGCAGATATGGCCTCGGAACACTGAGACCGAAAGGTCGAGCATGAATCATATAGTAGATATGATCAACATAGTGATGTTCACCATTGAAAACTACTCCATATCACGTGATGATCGGACATGGTTTAGTTGATACGGATCACGTGATCACTTACATGATTAGAGGGATGTCTATCTAAGTGGGAGTACTTAAGTAATATGATTAACTGAACTTTAATTTATCAGGAACTTAGTACCTGATAGTATTTTGCATGTCTATGTTGTTGTAGATAAATGGCCCGCGCTACTGTTCTGTTGAATTTTAATGTGTTCCTAGAGAAAGCTATGTTGAAAGATGATGGTAGCAACTACACGGACTGGGTCCATTGTCGGTGTCAAAACTGGCAGATCTCGGGTAGGGGGTCCCAAGCTGTGTGTCTTAGGATCGATGGGTAACAGGAGATGAGGGACACTGTGTTTTTACCCAGCTTCGAGCTCTCTCAAAGAGATAATACCCTACATGCTGCTTTTGATTGTATTTGATGTATATGATTACAAAGTTGATCTACCTTGAGATCATATGTTGTGGTCTAAACCCTAGAGGTATGATGAGTAATGTCATAATGATCTATCGACTAGCCTGGCCTCGGCTTATATAATGTACCGGAGGCCTAGGATAACAAGAGTCCTAGTCGAATACGTTGATGGAGAGGAGTCCTTGTCTTGATCATCAAGTCTTGTGGAATCTTTCTCGTGTGCGGCATGGGCTGCCCGAAGTGGCCCATGAGTGAACTGCCATGGGGGTCCTCGGCCTGATCCAGCTGGTCAGGAGACGACTTGGTGAGTACCCCCTAGTCTAGGACACTATCAGTAGCCCCCTGAACCGGTCTTCAAGTTGGGGACGCTCCTCGATTCTTTCGAACTGTTCTTCATCTTCGGTCGTCAGTCTTGAAAACTGGTTCAACAAATCTTCTTATCTTCGATCTTGAGGATCGCCGAAGTAATCCTAAGAGTTTACATGTCGGGTATCCGAGGAGCCCCATTAAGTTATTGGCCTTTATCAATGCCTTGTTATTTTTACGCCCACCTCGGGTTTGAAGTGTTTCCCGTGTGGCAGTGTCCTCTCGCATCCGAGCTCCAACACCGGACTACATTCGAGGTATCTTTTGTAGCCGA